TGGGAAGTAATTAGCACAATGGATTCAAGAACTGTCATCGGTCTGTCATTATAGCATAGAGGGGAGGATACCTATTGCCGAGATAGATTTTGAGTTGGTTTTTCGAAATAGATTTTCGAGTTAGGATTCGAGTTGGATTTTCGAGTTAGGATTCGATATGGATTTCGAGTTGGATTTGCGAAAAAAAATCACTACGCATGAAGTTCGATCACAGTACGTAGGACTTTTCAGTGTCATGTTACTATATTCATATGACAGACGAACTACTGAACCACATGAAACTGAAAGTAAATGTATGATTTCGTGATCAAAACCTTGTGTTTTAACTGAATTACAGATATACACTCTTTTTTTTCTATAAGAATATATTTTGTAAGAATAGCGAGGCTGAAATTTGCAAAATCTTAAGAATATTCTAAGAATAAACCCCACCGAGGCTGAGATTGCGCAAAGGATGATTATTTTGAGTGATGAAAATCTAAAAAGTATGTTTTTAACTTAACCGTATCAAGTTATTGCTTCCTCCCACGGCAAACTGAAGCTACCCAACAAAACGAAGAAACCTTCATTGGTTATATAGCCAAATGTTCAGTGTTAATGACAGTTCGATGAACGGTACATGAAATACATATCTATAGTATACAGCCAAAGAAAAATAACAAAATAAATGCACAAACCACAAAAAAGGATATTATAAATTCTTTCTTATTCAATTATAATTCAAGAATAATACATGAGTATTTTCAGGCTAAAATCGGCGGAAAAATAAGAATATTCAGCCTGGCCCGAAAAAACAACATTCTTATATGAAAAAAGAGTGTATAACCAAAATGGGACGTTTTTATCCGAACGGTGATCATTACTCGATGTAGTTTTTGCCGATATAAACGTCTCAACGGTGTAGCGAGCTTTTCGACTAGTTGTAGAACTGGCTGACTTTCATTCCTATACATCCTAATATATAATTGCACGCACGACTACTTTTACTTTTACCGCTTTTTCTTTATTAATCCGCAAAGGCGGAAACCATTGCGCGGATATAGTACGCACTGACCTCACCAACACTTTGATTAAGCTTTTTAGCTCATCCCAATAGGCCATTTCCGAGTTCCAAAAAATCTCACTTTCAAAACGAGGCTAAGTGCGAAACCTTTGTTGTGAAAATGAGTTTTATTTGCATGATAATTAAAAATCATTTTCACATCAATGGCCTCGCACTTAGCCTCACTTTGAAAGTGAGATTTTTTGGAACTCGGAAATGCCCTATTCAACAACACATATTAACTTATTCCAAGCGGTAGAGGGATCAAACCAAACATTTGTAGGCCCGGGCCTACCGGTCTATGAGCTGGCTACGCCACTGCGTCTGTCATATGAATAAGATATCACATTTTCCCTCAACCGGCTTGTCTATTTTGCTTAATAAACGTGCCAGGCCCTTGAACTCCAGCCCAGGTTACACAGGAAAAGTAAAGATCTGTTGAATCCACGTCGAAGTGAGCAGAGTTCATTACGTTCCCTTCAAAGTCAAAAAAAAGTATTCATAAAGCTTGGCATGCCTGTGATCTTAGCGCAAGTGAGGCGGATGAACGACCCGCCTCAACCCGGGTTCCTTCAGTTTAAATGGTAGGTTTTTTTCAGTTGAGAAGAATAATCCCAAAATAATTATGAACTTCTGTATTTTAAATTAAGTTATAGAATAAGAGTTGCTTGATAAAATAATGGGATCTGGTTCTGTTGCGGAGCCTTAAAGTTATCTAAAATGGCGTAGGTACCTTCCATTCTTCTGAATTTCAACTAATTTCCAACTAAATAAGCGCCCCCTCGATGAAGCGCCCTCTTTCCAATAGGCAGTCCTCCTTTCAGCAGAAATTTTCAAATAAGCGCCCAGCGCTTATTAGAGGAAGTACGGTAATTGATGATCGCAAAACCTACCAGTGGCTCAGAGGTACGAGACGGAAAGCTGAGACAGAGGGTCTGATAATTGCAGCCCACTAGGACCAGAACCTCCCTACCAAGTCTTACTAGTAGTTGATGACACTAAAGTCTACGCAGGATATGTAACAAGCCAAAAGAAACGGTAGATTATACACTGGATGTCCCGAACTTCCAAAACTGAATTTTTAGAGAGGCACAATATTAACGAGGCAGCTGCATATATCCATTGAAAGGAGTGTCAGCATTACAAAATCGAAGTACCGAAGAGGTGCTATCAGCACAAGCCTGAGACGGTCAACGAAATTAAATAAGTTACAATCCTTTGAAATACAAAGAAATATACGGATAGAGAGTTGTCAGCGAACATGCCTGATATAGGCAGTGATCAAGCACCACGGAAACCGATGTTGCAAGCTTACCGATGTGTCAGTATCATCCGACCAAAACACCTCGACAAAGGCCAATGAAAAGATCTCGAAATACAAAGACCTTGAGATCGAAATCACGGAAATACGGAGAGTGAAAACAGAGATTATGCCAGTTATTGTTGGTGAGCTGGCACTCATAAGTAAGGGAATGGAACACAATTTAGGAAAGATCTCTGGAGCTATTAACATCAATGAGCTGCAAAAGATCATCCTCTTAGAAACGTACAGCGCGCATGCTAAGAAGATTTCTGTTCATCCAGTAAAATATCCCTCTAGTACCTCAAGACCAAGGATGGGCCCGGTTCTAACAGAGTACAAGAAGCAATTCACAGCACTAGCACTCCGTAAAATAGGGCATTTTGGTTGTTTATTAGTGGAAATTACGTAGATTTGGAAAGGAAATAAATTATAGGGTAGAAAAGGTATGAACATAAACCAGTTAATTCGCTAATGGGATCAGTGGCACCTTGTTGTGGTGGTGGACTATCAGGCCCCGGTTGTTCAAACTTTGGATAGCGCTATTGAACGGATAAATCACTATCCAGTGAATAAGTATTAGGAAAACCTATTGCGCTATCCAGTGGATAGTGATTTATCCGGTGGATAGCGCTATCTTCCTTTCGAACAACTGGGACCTGGTATTTTTCTACTACTTATTCTATTCTTTTTTTAAAATTTTAACAACCCCCAAATCCAAGATTTTCCAATTTTCCCAAAATTTTAAACATCCCCCTCCCATTTTCATACATTAAAAACATTCGGAAAATCATCCAAAAATTCTCAAAAAAATATTGCACCATGCATAGGACTCCAACTTAATACATGGAGTCATTTTTTTGATTTCCAATGAAATCCTGGCTACATTGTAGTTACTAAATTTTAAGAAAAAAGGGCGGAAATCAACAAAAGACAATGCTTTTAAACAGACTGCCCCCTTAAATTGGTAAGCTTGCAAAACAGACCAATTTCTGTATATTAAAATTCATTCTTTGCTCCAAGGCTTAGGGGAATAAAACAAAAGAAATCACCATGAGGCTAAGCAATGAATAATACATTTCTTTTGTTTTATTCTCACAGGCCTCGAAGCCAAGTATGAATTGTAATTCAATGTAATATCGAAATTGGTCTTTTTCCTCACATTTTGATGTTCTACACTCGAAGTTTTGGAAATAATTTAGAACATTGAGCTTGTTACCAGTGCATCTGTTTTAGCCAACTAAGCAAGGCTACTTACAAGTAAACTGGCATTATTTAAGTCACCTTAGAACATTATCTTACAGTTTAGTCTTGTGTGTAACTAATGAATCGGGGAGGAGATGGGAAATTGGAGGGGGAGGGGTGCAGGAGGGCTGCAAACCCAACTGTGAGGATTATTGGATGAGATTAAAAAAAAACAGCTAAAAGTAAGTAAGTAATTAACCAATTAAGCAACAGTTTTATAATACAATATTTGTAAAATAGATTCAAAAGTCAAATGGTCGACCCCTTAGAGATGTAATTGATGAAAACCGCTTTCAAGATTGCGTACGTGATTTTAGTTCTAGTGTCACGGTACAAACTGGATTGAAACATTCTGGGCGGGGGTGTCTCGTTATCCATTGCTCTGCCGAGATGAAGTAGATTCGTTAAATCTTAGAGGTGGAACAGTTAGGGCCATTTATACCAGGAAAAAAGGGCGTGTCCTCAATAAGACGCGAACTTCACCGTATAAACGACACAATTCGTCTGAAATAAGACGAGACTTAGCTAAGAGAAAAACAGGTGTTAAGGGCTATTCTTAGATAAGTCGGTTCTTATCTTATTGCAGACAAAATGTGTCTTTTATGTGGTAAAGTTGGCGTCTTATTTAGGGCGCGTCGTATGTGAGACGAGTCTTATTTCTCCCCGTATAGATAGCCTTGACTGTAAAGTTGTTACCTTTTCCTACTTACTAGAAATTTCTTGAGCGAAGAATATTTCAAATCCTGTTTTGTTCTCGAGCAGCCAGTCCGTGTGTAACGTTAATACAACGTAGTTTCCTGATACAAGAAGGTCTGTTTCATTGAGCTGGTTACCGCAGTATCGAAGTTCGGTGATGCCATTCGTTATTTTCAAATAATCGATCCTACAAGAAAGTCTCTATCAATACTAGTTGCTGTACAGTAACAAATATCTCTCCCCTCATTCTCCTCGCTAGATGCCAAAATAACGGTTTATCAGACTGATTCTGGGGATTGATAAAAAAATCCACCAATCAGGGCTAAAGGGACGGTAGCTGACCTAAACGTATACTTGATGAAAGTGAGATTCGATTGCACTAAACTTACAAGAATTAAGCTATTTGAGAATGTTTTTGTATCCCTTCAAGTTTTTGACCCGCAATCTCAAAATTAAAGTTCAGAAAAGACAAGCTAAACGTATTTATTCCTAAACAACAAAACAGCAAAGAGAAAAGCGACTTGAGTTTTCCAAATATTTTGGACGAACAAGCAGTCCTTCTTCAGGGGATTTAATGAAGAATCGGAAAGTCGACTTTCCGATTCGTCATTAAATCTGCTGAGGAAGGACGGCTTGTCCGTCCGAAATATCGGGAAAACTCAAGTCGCTTTTCTCTTTGCTGTTTTGTTATTTATTTCTATATTTTTGTCTTAGATA